ACGTGGCCGACAACGCGCGGCCTCTGCCCCGGAGCTGCAGCCGCTGCGGAAGCCGCAGGGCGGCCTGCAGGCCCCGCGCGCGCAGCGCTCGCATCCTCCGGCACGGATCCCCCGGGATAACCCTCCTCCTCCTGCTTACCAGAGGCGAATGCTACACTTCATGAGACGTCCCAGTATAATCTTTTTTTTCCTCAAAAAAGCCATTCTTCCCTGTAAAAACACTAGATAGTACACTTGAAAACACTATAAAATTACTAAATATAATACCGAAAGATGGCTTGCGTTGCTCCAAGTGCTGTTTGAATGAAACAATCGATATTTTTCCTCCTGGCAGTTAAAAGTAGATAAAGTAACTTGTTTCCTTAGCAATAATAATTTGCATTGATCTACCTACCAGACCAATACATCAGACTACCTAAAGGCTCAGAGAGAGACCAACAATACTGAGTAAAACAAGAATGAATAATTCACCATGGGCCTTGAAGCACAGGCTCAAAACAGAGCTTAAGAAACACTCTAAAAACCTTTCCAGTGCATGAACCGAGTAGCCTATGTGACTCTTCTGGTGCTTCCAGTTAGTTATAAATAAGCAAGCATTGACCTCACTAAAGCATGTTCGACTTCAATACACTTTCGCCTCTACAAAATCCAGCGCTGTTTGTCCTTAAACAATTTATGTCAATTAAAAATATGTTTTTATACTTAATGGAAAAGAAAAAAGGAGGAGGAAAGAGAAAAGAATATGGAAGTGAAATACAAAAAGATCTCCAATCCGATTCAAATTGTGCAGACCCAAAAGAGTACTGCAACAACAATACTGGTATCTCCTTCCTCACTTGCAAAAATCAAACAAAAGAAAATTCCGTCTTATTTCCTGTCACAGACAAATGCCCACAGACACACACGCTGTTGTAAATGCAAGCTTAACAAATGCAAACATTAGCTTAACAAATACATCCTCATAGTCCAGTTTTCTAGGAAATATCCGGTTTGACACAGTTATTTAAGTTGCAAAAAAAAAAAAAAAATGTTTCTTATTTTATGGATAAGAAAGTGATTTTACTGAGCATGAAGGAATCCACACTTCATGAATGTTGACCACAGATGTGAAAAGCGAACACGTGTATGCATGCGGTAGCACATTAAGTGCCTCGTTTCTGAATAGCAGTTTTCAGTCTCGGGCTGTGCAGTCTTCACGAGCTACGTCGCAGACGCAGCCCCCCGTCTCACAGCCTCTCCTGGGCACCAGCCGTCCCACGCGGGAGTCTCCCGCCACGGCGGAGATTAGCGAAGGCACCGACTCAGGTCTAAGGCTTTGCAGGCCAAGACAAAGCAAGACTTTGTTGTTTCAAGGTCTCCAGGCAAAGCTGAGCCTGGGCGCAGGGTGCAGCTGGGCACATCGAGGACTCGCTGAGCAGGAAGACATCCAAACAGACCAGGAACTCGGGAAAACCGAAGACCCGACCGGTATTCTAGAGAAAACACTGGAGACACTCGCAGAATTGACATCTCAATTTCCTGAGATGGATGAAACGGATTATCTAGTTTGGGAAAACTCATGTAATGGATTACTAGATGAAACGAGATCAGATTAAAAAATTATAATAAGAAGAAGATTTCTTGATTAGGCGCTCTGGTCCATCAAGACGAGTTGCTGTGATTTCAGAGGCGTGCCCACACCTGCAAGCTATACCTAGACATGACCAGATAAGCCTAAGAGTAGCAGATTAAAAAAAAAAAAAACACTTTTTTAAAATTCAGATGGCAAATCTTTGTGCATGCCCTCTGAGGTGACAAGTCAAGACATAAAATTTTAATTTTATTTTCACATACAGTTAACACAAAAGGCAGCGTGTCTGAAAAGCAAATGCAATTGCTCATTTTCCTTGGGGGCTACGTGCTAATGACAAGAACCAGCACTCGTAAGCACGCTGCCGCAACCTACTTACAGCCAGTAACAATATTCATCATTTCTAGGGTATGCGGACTACCAGAGGGATCAGAAATTATGTCTAATACACTGCTATAAAATGTGGCACTCAGACTTGCTCTCTCTTCCTAGAGCAAGAGTGTTTGTGGGATTTCTTTTAGTAGTTGTTTTGTTACTTTTTTCCCTGGAATTTACAAATCAAAGAAGTTGAATATACGTGGGGTGTTTGCTTCTTTCTTTCTCTCTCTCTCTAGTTTAAGGCCCACTGGCTCTCTCCTCCTAGCCATCCTGCCAGGGGAATCCCCAAGCAGCAAGCTGCAGGATAAAACGCTTCCCAAAACACCCAGCACCAGCCACTTCCCAAAGATCCGGACTCTGTGCATGGGGTTTGTCTCACCCTGACGACCTTTCCAAGGAAGTTTAAACACAGATGCTGCAGGATGCCAGTGAGTCCCTATTTGTTTAAAGTATCAAGTTACTCCTTTTACAGGCAGCAGGAAAATAAGGAGCAGTATTTACAGCCCAACAGGTTCAGCAACTGCATTTTCATCATTCTCAGGAAAAAAAAAGAAAAAAATAATCCTTTGATACTTTCCAGTTCCAGACTTAAGTCTTCCTATTCTAATGCATCTTAAGACATAAGTACAAACCACAATAGAACGAAACGAGTGAAAAAGTGGAGGGAGAGAGGGGTTGTTACTTTACTGCACTAGTTATTTTCCAGACTGATCAGCTCATCCTCCCTCTCTCAGCTGTCTACTTAACAAAAAGCTAATGAGCAAAACTCGCTGATCACCCACTATATGCTAGTTTTTACTTAATGAATTCTAAAGAATGTAAACAATAATTTTCATATTGTATTAAATGTAAACACACTAAAACCCAGAAGATTATATCTAAGAAACCTGAGTTAAGTACTCAGAGGTACTGGAGGTAGGAGTGCTTCTCGTTAAAGAAACTGTACAATCAAGGGCAGCTTGACAAAAACCTCTTCTAAATTACCCACAAATAAGATTCTGGAACATGCTCTCTAGCCATACTTCTAAGCAACACTTCTACTGCCTGGAAAAAGAAGTTGCGTGTGAAAACTAAACTAAACTAAACAAACAAACAAAAATAAATATACGTGAGAAGAGTCTCAATGTGCAGCGAGTTATCCTTAAGAAAAGGGTTCATTTTAGGTATTTCCTTTATACTATATCAATTGTCTTGTTTGCATCACAATTAAGAGTATAATAGTAAAAAAAATGTATAATATTAAAAAATAAATGTATAATATCAAACATATATAATATTAAAAAATAAATAAAAAGTTTAGGAAAAGGAGTGAGCGGGGGGTTAGATACACAGTGGGGAAAAAAAATCAGAATTGCTACAGTGTCTACACCCCAGTGCCACTCTGTGTGTCTTACTGGCAGAAACCAGCCCCCCCCGCCCCGAGGAAAGTAAAGAAAGAAAGAAATTACATACATATATGTATGTGTGTGCGTGCGTGCACACCAACATATACTTGAACACATATATGTATACAGATACACGCACATGTATACACACACACACATTTGTGTATACACACACACGCATAAAAATATATAAATACACACATATTTATACACACACACGTATACATACACACACATAGAAATACATATATACACACGTATTTATATGCTATACATACACCCACGTATACACACATGTATTTATACACTACACATACATACATATACATACACGCTCACGTATTTATACACTATACCCGCACCCACAAATACATACATACATACATATATATATATATATATATACATACACACACACGCA